TCCCCCCACTTCTGACTTCGACTCTTTACAGTGGTGATCTAACAGTTTTTGGTCATGTACATTGCCAGAATTACAGCAGGCATGACCAATATAAATTAAAAATACAAATTACTTAGTTTTGGAGTGAATTGAAGTTTTTAAAAAATTTAATTTATCATTATTATTATTGTGCATATGTGCATGCTGGTCCTGGGACTTGAATTCTTGCTAAAAATAAAGCAAAAAGGGCTGGAAACATGGTTCACCTGGTAAGTTTATATATCTTTTCCTTGTAGCGTCTTGACCCAGAGAGAAAGAACCTTTGGATTTTGTTTCTTTATACCTGGAAATACTATTTTGTTCAACAGTTTGCTTTGTAACCTCTTTTATTTCTTAGAAAATATGATCTGTCTGTCTGTCTGTCTATCTGGGGCTTGAATTTAGGGCCTCATGTTCTCACTTGGCTTTCTCATTCAAGGCTGGTGGGCTTTCTCATTCAAGGCTGGTGCTCTGTCACTTGAGTCATACCACCACTTACACACTTTTGCTGGTGAATTAAGAATGTTGAGGATTATCTGCTCCTGAGGGCTATGAATCAGGATCTTCAGATTTCAGGGTCTTAAGTAGCTGTGATTATAGATGTGAATGAGTGGTATTATTTATCTATTTACTTATCATTATTATGTGTGCCAGTCCTGGGGTTTGAACTCAGGGTCTGGGTGCTGTCCCTGTGCTTTTTTGCTCAAGGTTCGCGCCCTATATCATGAGCCACAGCTCCACTTCTGGCTTTTTGGTAGTTAATTGGTTAAGAGTCTCACAAACTTTCCTGCCTGAGCTGGCTTTGAATGGTGATCCTCCAATCTCAGCCTCCTGAGTAGGTAGAATTACAGAAGTGACTCACTGGCCTCCAGCTGAGAATATGATTTATTTTTAAGAACCATTAAGCCACTTTAATTTTCCTTTGCTTTTTATTCTCTGGAGTTAATGAAATAGTAGCTCACTAATACTGCCTTTGTATTATTTAAGGTCTTCAATACTATGAATCGTGTGCTGAGTGGTTTCATTCCCTTTGAAGACTTAAAATCATGTCTTTAAATAGGTGTACTTTGAAGTATTGTTCTTTGGGGAAAATCTTTTATTACCCATTTTCTTCAAAGGGAACTTAAGTGAATATTACAAAACAATTTTATTTATATTAATTCTATGATTTTCTCATTGATATAACTACTTGACCAAAAAGAACATCTGTATTTTGACTTCTAAACATTTATGAGGATCTAAACATTCTAAACATTTATGGATCTTAAAAACTTCTAATATATGTATTTTTTATTGTAAAGATACTGTACAGAGGGGTTACAGTTAACACGAGCAAGGCAATGATTCTATTTCCTATCCAGCATTGTTACCCCCTCCTTTGTTTTTCCCCTACCCTCCCTTTCCTCCTCACCTCCCCAACTCTGCCCTCCCCTTCCAGATCTTAAAAACTTTTGCAGCGGGGCTAGGAAGGTGGTTCAGTGGTAGAGTGCTTGCCTTGCATACATGAGGCCCTGGGTTTGATTCCTCAGCACCACATAAGCAGAAAAAGCTGGGAGTGGTGCTGTGGCTCTAGTGCTAGAGTGCTAGCCTTGAGCTAAAGAGCTGAGGGACAGCATCCAGGCCGAGTTCAGGCCCCACGACCGACAAATAAACCAAAAACCTTTGCAGTACTTAATAAACCTCTTTCTGAAAGCTGCTATTGAGCTTTGAAGAGTGATAGAAATTGCTGTTTGCATAGTATCCCCTTCATTGTTTAGAGGAATTTAATCACAGTCCTTGAAAGGCAAACACTCTCCACTTATTCCTCTTTTTGTTATACGTACTACTTTCCTTCCCCTTAGGTGCCCTGGAAGATAGATTTGTTGAATACATGGTTAGTTGTAGCTCTTTTTTTATACTACAGGATTTTGAAATGGTCTATAAATAGATTATAACTGAAGTAAATTACAATTATTACGGTGAAGTGTTCACTGGAAGGATTGTATAATAAATGCTAGCTTCTTTTTCTTATTCTTTTATTAAAGAGTTAAGGATGGAGCCCAAGGCCTGATACATGCCAGGCCTCAGTCCTAGTACTTTGAAAAGTGTGTTATAGAGCATGCATATGAATATCGTAATACATGCTAGGCAATGATATAATTATTGGCATTTTTAGAAGGAACCTAAAGGCATTGTATTTATCTTATTTAGAAAGAAATTTGATAAGTGTGTTAAAAGATGGGATAAAAATTTCACAATTTATTAATTGTACTATGTGCTTTTATGCTATGTTATATAACACTTGCACTAAAATAGAACAACCTAAATTGTTGGTCCCAAGTAATACAAATATTCTAGATGTTTAGCTATTTTACTAAGCTTTGGCTATATTGCTTTTATGTGTTTACTCAGTACAGAACTTTATTGGATGATCAGTAATTGTAATGTCCAACTTCTGAAGCTTTCTTCAGAAGTTCAGAGTTGTCTGAAACCTTGAATCCTTTAATCTGTGAGTTCTTTGACAAGTGTCTGGCACTTGGTAAGCTTTAGTCATGTGATTATATTGTTAGGGTTTAGATCTTAACTGGCCCCCATAGCCTTATGTGTTGAAGGCTTGGTTCCTGTCTGATACACTACCAGGAGGTGGTAGAAGCTTTGTATTTGGAGGAAATGTCATTGGGCACATGCCCTTGAAGAGGGGATTTGGGGACCCTGGCCTTTTCTTCTATCTTTGCTTCCTGGCTGCGAGAGTGCCATATACACCTTGCCACAGTCCCCAAGTCACTGAGCCAAGTGATCTTGTGTACCCGAACCTCTGAGCTAAAATATGCTTTACTTCCATTAAGTGTTATCATCTCAGGTGTTTTGTCACAGGAGCACAGAGCTGATCAACATAAGTGAGTTTGTGGTTGATGTTCTGGGTTCCCTGCTATTATTTGTTACTAGAGCTATAGAGGAGCCTAGTCCACTTTAAAGGACTGTCTTAAAGAATATACTAAGTGACAGTTTAGCATTTTCCCATAGACTATCTCTAATGATGTCGATGATTGCCTGTGCAGCCAGGGATGATTCCCTGTATAGCCAGGGAAGAAAAATTGGCCCAGTGAGTATAAGTTTCCTGAAGATAGCTAGCAAGAGGCAGAAGTCTGACCCCAGCCTGGGTTGCTACTTCGAGTCTGCATTCAACAAAAGTCTTTCCAACAGAAGATAAGGACCTGGAAATGATTTCAAGGTGCTTCTTGAGTTCTTCTTAGAACCATCCAGCTTCTTAGAAGCTTCTTAGAAGCTGGATGTCAGATATGAGACTCAGATTACATTTATTTTTTTTATAACCTTTTTATAACTTTCGACTACTTCATCTCTTAAGAGGATCACTATACTCCAGGAGGGATTTTAGTTGCTGTGAGTTGGGGCACGGGAAGAAGATAACTAGTTAAGAAAGAAGCAAGTGTAGGATAGAGGATCAGAACTAGCTTGTTTCAATTGTACAATATTTTGAATTGGCAAAAATAAAGGTTTCTATAATGGTATGTTTCCACCACCAAGATGAATTTTGATACTAGGTTTCAGGTCCTGGTTTAAAGAAATACATCATCATACTTAAATCTGAGGTCCTGAATAATCTCTTCTGTATTAGAATGGTACTTATACATTAGAGTTTATATTCATGTTGATAAGTATCTCAGATGTAACTTAAAAATGTTAGTTTTTAAGTGCTATGTAATATATATATTATATATAACACATACATGTATATTACATATATATAACATGTATGTGTTTATACATAACATGTGTTTATATATATGTATATACAGTCTGTGTGTTTTGGGTAGTACTGGAGTTTGAACCCAGCTTTGCATTCTGGTTTGGTTTGCTCATGGCTTGGCTGATACTCTATTCATTTGAACCACACCTCTAGACTGGCTTAAATTTTTTAAAAAAGTAGTTGTAAAAAGGAGTTGCCATTTAACAAAGCATTTTATGAATCTATGAATTTTATATCTTGATCGGTTTCACTCCTTTCAACATTCTCAGCCATCCTACCTACTCCTTCCCTTCTTAATTTTGTAGGCTGTACATTGGATTCTTGTCTTCATTTTCCCCCTCCTCTTTATTCTAGACTGGCTTTTTTTTCCTGTTTTTTTGTTTCGTTTTTTTAAAAGATGGAGCTGTGTGAATTCTGCCCTAGCTGGCTTTGAACTTCAATCCTTCAAATATCGCCCTCCTGAATAACTAGAAGTGTACTTGTGAGCTACTGGGGCCTTGCCAGAAATGTAAACTTTTTGACCAAAGAGGGCCTGAAGGTGTAGCTCATTGGTAAAACACCTAGGTTCAGTCCACAGCACCAAATAAATAAATTAAACTGGCTAATGAGAAATCATGTTCTTAATACATGGGTTACTGGCAGGTTGATACTGAACTGTTTTACATATCAATTTCTGTAGACAGTCAAATACCAAGAATGAATGTCTGAATACCAAGAACAAATTGTGGTGATCAGATTCTTTTTTCAAACATTAGTTCTGAATTGGTATTATTCTTTTAGCAGATAATTTGAGTTATGTGTAGTGTGCTATGGAAACAAGACCCATCCATGTCAAGGATCTGTGGTCTAGTAGTACATTTGAGGAGTTGACAGCCTGTGAATAGCCTAGTAGCAAATAAATGTGAACCTTTGTGGGCTACATAGTCTTGGTCCAAATCCTCAACTCTGCCATTGTGGGCCCAATGTAGCTGCAAATAAATGAGCATGGATGTGTTTCAGTAGAGCATTGTTAACAAATGCAAGACCACATTTGGTGTGTGGGTTGTTTGCCATCTCCTGGTCTGGTTCATTTGTTTCTGCCCTACTAATAACCACGGCAGCAATTTTCATTAAGCATTCCGTTAATTAATTTGTTACAGTTATTTAAGATGAGATTATATAAGAATTGGATCTGTTGTGTTGTGTAAGTCACAAAACCAAGCTCTCATCCATTATTTTTCTTTCTCTTGTCCAGGACATTTTATTTCCTTACATCAAAGAAAATGTGAAAGAATATCTACAAACACACTGGGAAGAGGAGGAGTGCCAGCAGGATGTCAGTCTGTTAAGGAAACAGGTTGGGACTTTTTTCTTTCACATCCCCTAGAATCATTAGCATAGAGGATGCCTACAGACGTGGAACATGCACTGAGCATGTTGTAATCAGATTCCCAGGGGCTAGAAGTTGAAGTGACTTGCCTGCTTTGGAATTCAGGGTACATAATTAAACAACCAAGTTATAACAGTTCCTTGTTTATAGAGTTGCCTCACCCAGGAGCTGTTTAAATTGCATAAAAGCATCTTGTAAAATTAAACCTTTTCTGCCTGGAATACAGAGGTTATATGCAGTCTCATTACATGTTTTATTAATGTCACTGACAGCTCCTTGTCATTTTCCACTCTCATGGCTCATGATATGAGCCTTCACAGTCCTCTTTTACAGTGCTCCTGGGTCCTTAGACCCCCAAACCCCTCCAGAATTCTCACCTAGCTCTCTCCTGGCCCAGCCTTCAGAACCAACTTTGTCTCCTTTGTGTCATTCTGCCTCTACACCTCCTCCCAAATTCCTCAGTCCGTCATCCACGTTCTGTGTTTGATGGAACTCCTGTTGATTTTCTTATTCAATTTGCTTCAATGGCAAAGACATGTAGCACTAATGCTGTTCCACTGTGTCTAGTTGTTGGTTGAGGAGGGGTCACTTGAACTGTTTTGCCAGGCTTATCTCAAATCATGATCCTCTGATCTCAGCTACAGGAGACTCATGCCTGTAATTACATTGTTAGGGTTTTTGCAAAAAATGGAGAGGCTGAATATAAACCAGTTCTGTTACTGCATTAGCTTTTTCCATTGAATTTTAGCCATAAACCAATTCTATGTTTCCCATTTTTTCAGTTAAAGAGAAAATTATTAGTTTCTTAAAATCCTGGTTTATTGATCTTTATGAGTGCATTAACCATATCTTGTTATATGCTTTTTCACATAAAATATGCCTCTTGATTTTAATTTCAGCTTAGGTATGTAAACGTACCAATTATAAAATTCCTTTTTTTTTTCCTTGGCAGTACTGGAGTTTGAACTCTGGCCCTCATGCTTGCTAGACAAGTGCTCTTGCTGCTGAATTTTGCTCACTAATTTGAATTAGTATCTCACTTCCTGTTTAGATGTGCATCTGGATGTGATCCACCAATGTTAAGCTTCCCAATAGCTAAGTTAACAGGTACACACAACTGTGTCTAGCTCTTCATTGAGAAGGAACTATTTTATGCTTGGTCTGGTCTTGAACCACTATCCTAACCCATCTCAGCCTCCCAAGATGCTAGAATTACAGGTATGAGCATTTCTTTTTGGTGTCATTCTTTTTGGAACCTTTGGTAACAGTTCTAGGGTAGGTCTAATATAATTGGAGAAAACTGATCTGCCTGGTTTGGGTGATCTCATTTTTAACATCCTTTTAAAAAAATTGACAAGAAATAAACTTTGTTTTGTTTATGACTTAAAGGCTGAAGAAGACACCCATCTGGAAGGGGCAGTTCCAATCCCTGCAGCATCTGGGAATGGGGTGGATGATCTACAACAGATAATCCAGGCTGTGGTAGATAATGTATTCTGGCAGATGTCTCTGGACCGAAAGACCACCGCTCTCAAACAGCTGCAGGGCCACATGTGGAGGGCAGCATTCACAGCAGGACACATAAAAGCAGAGTAAGTGCTTAAGTGACAGTTCAGCAGCTCCCAAATTCAAAGATGCTTCTCCTTCATCCTCCCTCTCCCTTATAAGTCACAGGATTAATATAAGAGATAGGATCATTGTTTTTATTCTAACAAAAACAAAACCACAGCAAAAAGGACTGGGGGTATAGCTTGAATGTAAAAGTGCCTTTCTAGCTGAATTCAAATCACAGAATTGCCACCAAACAATTAAAATTGGACTGGTTCTACATCTTAAATTCTTCATACTTTTGTTATATCCTTATGATATTAATTTCTCCCTAAATATGGGCGATACCGTAGAATTGATAAAAGCAACTAAATGAGGTTCAGGAATTGAAAACCATAAACTATTTGCTGATTGAAAATCATTTGTTCCCTAAGACGCTGTGTGTGTGTGGGGAGGGGGGGTGGGTGTGTGTGGGTGGGTGTGTGTGTGTTACAGCGCGCATGTGCTGTAGAACTAAGGGCTTGGGCTCTGCTCCTGAGTTTTGTTTTTCCCAATGCTAGCATGGTATCACTTGAGTCACAACTCTATCTCTTGCTTTTTTGGTGTTTGATTGGTGTTTAATTGCCCTGGTTAGCTTTAAATGGAGATCCTCAGATTTCAGCTTCCTGAGTAGCTAGGACTACTGGCATAAGCCACCAACACCCAGCTCTAAGTTGTTTTCTTTGCAGTAAAACTGCAGGTTTTTGTAGTCCTTAAGTAAATGCATTTGTTTTCTAGCTAATCAGTGATTTCATTTCTAGCTTTGCGCTCTTAGACTTAAAAAAAAATATTTGGCCCATACTTTGCCAACAGCATTTCCATGTTTTCTTAAACTACAGTGGACACAAATAAGCATTTTCTTATGAGTAATGTCAAAGATTGTATAGTAATACATTATTACTATCATTTGGTCTTTTGAGTTCCTTGAAATTGAAAAAATCTCCTTATTTTATCCCTTTTCTGCTAATTCCTTTTTATTCTCAAAAAGTGATTGTTGCTTCTGATTGCTGGGATCCAGGTGCTCCAGTGACATTCTTTTTTTTTTGGATCTGGTCGTGGGGCCTGAACTCTGGGCCTGGGCGCTGTCCCTCAGCTCTTCAGCTCAAGGCTAGCGCTCTACCACTTGAGCCACAGCGCCACTTCCGGCTTTTTTCTTTTTGCTTATGTGGTGCTGAGGAATCGAACCCAGGGCCTCGAGCATGCAAGGCAAGCGCTCTACCACTGAGCCACCTTCCCAGCCCCTCCAGTGGCATTCTTTAGGCTGTACGAGTCTGCAGTTTTGTGGAGTACTTCTCATGTCACCACTGGGGCCCAGATAGATGGCTCCTATGCTTTTGCTTTTTTGACAAAGGAAAAATCCCCGTTTCCATTTCTTGGAGTTCATTTTGATCAATATTTTATAGGATCAGAAGCACATACACATTGTATTGTGCCATTGTGTTCCAGCCCTAGGAATATGGCTAGATGCTTTTTAACTCTTCTGCCTTCCCTCCAGGCTTTTTGCAGATGTGGTTCCAGCAGTCAGGAAGTGGAGAGAGGCTGGGATGAAGGTATACATCTATTCTTCAGGAAGTGTAGAGGCTCAGAAATTGTTATTTGGACATTCTACAGAAGGGGATGTTCTTGAGGTAAGTTACTTGGCTTGCTTACTAGGTTTTTCTTTTGTTTTGTTTTTTGGGGTTTTATTTTATTTTTTGTCGGTCACTTTATTTTTTGCCTCATGCATGAGAGGCAAGCACTCTACCACTGAGCCAACTTCCTAGAGCCCCTTTATTTTTAGTTTTTGTTAGTCATGGGAACTGGTTGCTGTTCCTGAGCTCTTCAGCTCAAAGCCAGCACTCTACTATTTGAGCCACAATGACACATCTCATTTTCTGGTGGTTAAGTGAAGATAAGAGTCTCACAGACTTTTCTACCCCAGCTGGCTTTGAACTGCGATCCTTAGATCTTAGCCTCCTAAGTAGCTAGGATTACAGGCGTGAGCCATCAGTGCCTGGCTTGGCTTACTCGTTTTTGTTTGTTTTGTTTTGTTTTTTGTCGGTCACAGGGCCTGAACTCTGGGCCTGGGTGCTGTCCCTCAGCTCTTCAGCTCAAGGCTAATGATCTATCACTTGAGCCACAGCGCCACTTCTGGCTTTTTCTGTTTATATGGTGCTGAGGAATTGAACCCAAGGCCTCATGCATGCGAGGCAAGCACTCTACCACTGAGCCACCTTCCCAGCCCCGGCTTACTCATTTTGACACTATCAAATCATGAGGTTCAATGATAAATCAATGTACTACAGTTGTAGGCTAAATCAGCATTCAGATACTTGAGTGCGTGCTCGTGTGTGTGTGTGTGTGTTAAATTGGTTATTAAAAAAAAATGGAGCCAGCACACCTGTAATGCAAGCTACTCTGGAGACTGAGAACTGAAGATCATGGTTCAAATCCAACTGAAGCAGTAAAATCTAAGAAACTGTGAGCTCTAGTAAACCAGCAGAAAGCTAGAAGTAGAGGTATAGCTCTAGCTTTGGGTTAAACAAAGAAAAAAAAGTGAGAATGTAAATAAAGCATTAAGTTCAAGCTCCAGTACCAGCATATATACACATACACAAAGTAGAAAAACTGAGGAATACCTTATATGGAATATGTTTTGTGTGGTACTGATTTTTGAATTGTGCATAAGAATCACCGAGGGAATTTGTTTAAAATGTAGATTACAAGCCAGCAGTGGTGGCCTGTACCTCAGCACTCAGAGGCTAAGTTCAAGACTAGCCTGGGCTATATAGGAGTTTGAGGCAAGCCTGGACACATAGTGAGACTGTTAGATTTCTGGGCCTTGTTTCTTAAATGATCTAAATTGGCATGTCTAGAGCAAGGTCAGAAGTCTATATTTAAGCATTCACTTGGAGTGATTCTGATGAAGGAAAGCAGTTATCATGTATAAAAACACATATACATGTTTCTACATGCTAGTGCTGAGCCAGCATGTAAACAACTCCCTTGTCAAACTAGACAGTCAATAAGCTAAACGAAACTCAGACTGCTTCTTTATTTAAAATCAGTAAAGAAGAAAACTTTTCATTGTATTGTATTTACAGCTTCTATAGAAGCTAATGAAATTTATACTGTGTCTTGAAAAAAGTTGTAAAATAAAAATTAGTTAAGATGCAAAAAAGGATTGGTTTTAAGAAATGCATAAAGATTTTTTCTTCTTTTCTTTCTTTTTTTTTTTTTTTTTTTGGTGGTGGTAGGGTGTTGATGATTAAACCCAGCCTGTACTTGCTGGGCAAATGTTCTACTACTGAGCTTCATTCCCAGGCCTGTAAAGATATCTTGAACACAGCAGAGCACCTAGTAGGTTTATTTTTATCTGATACTGTGGAAAGATATGCATTTTATTTGGAAGAAACAGCATCATTATGTAAGAAAACTGGGCCCCTCATTAAACATATTGAGATGTGACACTAACTCAGCCAACTGACTTTTAAGTTGGAGTGGGGGTGCGAGAGCTTGAACCCAAAGCCTTGTCACATATTAGTAAAGTGGTGTACCACTGAACTATATCCTCATCCCTAAAGTAAGTACTTTAGAGCCCTTAGTATATGCAGAGAACACTTGGACTATGGAGGTTGTCACATGTGAATTTTCCACTTTTTGTCATCTGTATTAAATATTAAGCCAATAATTCATCCCTTGAAGTGAAGACAGTTGTCTGAATACAGGGGAACACTTCTTTTCTCTTCTAAGATGAAACTATATAGGATATGATAATTGCTTACTGAGTTTAATATAAAAAATTTATTCTTCATTAAAACAAACTGAGAAAGAAAATAAGTAAAGCCAGTCTGAGCTTTTTAAAAGTTAAAAGAACCAGTGTGGTATTGATGGCACACACCTGTAATCCTGGCTGCTCAGAAGGCTGAGATCTTAGGATCAAGGTTAGAAGCCAGCCTAGGCAAGAAAGTCCGCAAGACTCTTATCTCCAAAAAGTATCTTATTTCCAATTAATCTCCAAAATAGCTGGAAGTGGTGTTGTGGCTCAAGTGGTAGAGTGCTAGCTACTAGCCTTGACCACAAAAACTCAGGGATATAGCCTAATTCCTGGGTTCAAGCCAGCTTAGTAACATAAAATCTTTACATTTACTTTTCTAAGCTCCATAAAGTTCTCTGGATGGGTTTTCAGTGAAAATTAACAGAAAGAGTAAAGTCACTGTGAGGGTCGTGTATTGCAGAGAAAAGAGATGCTTGCTAAAACAATTTGATGGCTTGCAAGCGTATATGTAATGTTAGTCTCCTTTTCTTTGTTCAGCTTGTTGATGGTCACTTTGATACCAAGATTGGACACAAGGTGGAGAGTGAAAGTTACCGAAAGATTGCAAACAGCATTGGATGCTCCACTAACAACATCTTGTTTCTGACAGATGTTACTTTAGGTGAGTAGCAAGACTGTTGTGGTTTTATTTTTCTTTGAGACGAGGGTCTTAACTGTGTTGGCCTTGAACTCTTAGGCTCAAGCAATCGCCTACCTCAATCTCTTGAGTAGCTGACACTATAGGCAGAAGCCATCACTCCCAGCTACTCCCAGGGGCTTCAACTCGGGGCCTGGGTGCTGTCCTTGAGCCTCTTGAGCCAGAGTGCTTTTTCCAGTTTTTGAGTGGTTAATTGGAGATAAGCATCTCATGGGGACTTTTCTGCCTGGGCTGGCTTTGAACCACAGTCCTCAGATCTCAGCCTCCTGAGTAGCTAGGATTACAGGTTTGAACCACTGGCACTCGGCTACAACACATTTTTTTAAAAGCAAGTTTATGTGGGAATCATTGACAAAATAGTTGCATAAAACAAAAAAATGAAACCTAGTGCTGGTTGCTCACACCTGTAATCCTAGCTCCCCAGGGACCTGAGGATTAGAGCTTTGAAGCTAGCCTGGACAGGAAAGTCTGTGAGACTGTTCTCTCAAATTAAGTAACAAAAAAACTGGAAATGGAGATGGCTCAAGGGGTAGAGCACCAGTCCTGAGTGAAAAAACTAAGGGACAGTACCCAGACCCCAAATTCAAGTTCTAGTATTGGCACACACAAAAAAACTACTTGGCCCGCCTCCCTTCTCCATTTACTAATTCTTAAGGAAAGTGTGTGAGGAGATGATACTGGAAAGACTGCATATTTTCACTCCTCAGTCATGCTTCTGTGCATGTACATGTATACATATATGTACTATACTCATATATGCACTAATGTCACAGGAATAGGAAGCAGGATGACTTCGCAGTATCATTGTAAGAAAGAACATGCAGACAGGACATGAAGGCAGGGTGTTGTTCAGTTAAGAAGGTGAAGTCACTATGAACCAGTACCAAAGTATTTAATAGTAGTGAAGTCAGTTATAGCTCTGGAAAAGAAGGACAGGGGAGGAGCACAGAGTGAAGTCTAAAATAGTTGAAGCAGTTGGGTCCGTCATTCGGCCTATGGTTAGTAGGAGGTCCCCACTCCCTACTTTGATCTGTCTACCTCAGGCTTTATGGTATGTTTAAAAATATGACACTTTTTATCCAGTGTGGCCCTCTTACATCCAGTATGTTAGCGTTATACTTTTTTTTTTTTGGTTGGTCGTGGGGCTTGAACTCTGGGCCTGGGCACTGTGCCTCAGCTTTTCAGCTCGAGGCTAGCACCTTACCACGTGAGCCATAGCACTACTTTGGGTTTTCTGGTGGTTTACTTGAGATAAGAGTCTCATGGGCTTTTCTGCCCCAGCTGGCTTTGAACCACAATGCTCAGATCCCAGCCTCCTGTGTAGCTAGGATGACAGGCGTGAGCCACAGGTGCCCTGCTAGCATTGTACATTTTTTTTCTTTGGTGCTTGGGATTAAATCCAGAGCCTTACATATATTAGGCAAGCGTTTACCACGGAACAACAAACATTCTGTGGCCTAGTGTCATATTTACTTTAAGGGTTGAATGCATGAAATAGTGTGTGCCTACTTTTTTGGAAATAGAAATGATTTCAGAAGTAGTTTTGACCAGATAGATACTCTAGTATTTGGGTAAGGATCTGAGTCCTCTAGCGAACTATAGAATGAGAAGTGATTGAAGAAACAAGCACAGGGGAAGAAGTAGGGAAGACAGGGCAGGCTCTGGTTTTTACCTCTCCTTCACATTTCTTCCATTTCTACCTGGATCATCCATTTCTCTGGAACTGAGATCACACATTCCATTTACCCCCAGAACAGGGCTTTGTGAACTGCTGTTCTCAACAAACTGACAAGAGGCGTGTTGGGGGTGCTTTACTGATATACTGGCTCCCTGGGACCACTAGGTCTCTTGGAGGCTGCTTCAGTGGTCCGTGGACAAGACTGCTGTTTCTAGCCTTTCCTGTCTGTTGTCCCTATGCCAAAGGATGATCCTGGCCGCTGGTGTAAGTGCTTTCCTGAGGAAGGGTATGGACTGTATTCCTTTTCAGTTTGTGGTCCCTTGTGATTTACGAGGCGTGGAGGTACACAGACAGATACTAATTTGTTAAACTGCTGCTGCTGCTGCTGTTTTTAATCGTAATTAACATAGGTCATATAATGCCTTCATAAGTTTAATAGGTTTTTCCAAGGAAATACTAGTAGAACAAGCTTATTTTCTACTAGTCACTGACAGACATTCAGTAATCCTTAATATCTGGTGGAGTCCTTGGTAAATTGACTGGGATTTATAATCTTGGTAGACAGTACCAATGTACAGCAATTTATTACTTTGAGATTTCAGAATTCAGCAGTTTATGAGTTTCAGCTCCTTTCCCACATGTCCTAGCTTGGGTCAGCTTCAACTTGCAAGGCTTTCTGTAAAGTATCTTCGGGGCTTTATTCTACTAAATTTACCTGATTGCATGGGAGGGGAGGCAGATACACAAGCAAGCCAAGGTTTATTGTAAAACTAACTAGGTAGCTAGGCCACGTAAGATGCACCATCAGTGAGGATTAGCCTTAGGAACAGACATTTCACCTGAACTGTAAAGGGATTATCAAAATTTGCTATCAGATTTCTTTTCCTTTTCTTCTTTTTTACCTTTTCCTTTATTGATTTATTTTGGTGGTATGGGTGTGTGAATTCAGGGCTTCATTCTTACTAAGCAGTACTACCATTTGAGCTTCCAGCATTTTTTGCTTTAATTAGTTTTCAAATCGGATCTCACTTTTTGCTCAGGACTGGCCTTGGACTACCATCTTCCTCCCTCTGCCACACACATAGCTGGGGTTACAGGCGTGTGTCACTATGATAGCCAGGACTTACCTATCATTTCTGTATATAAAATGCATTGATTTGAAGTTTCAATATACTTTTGGGTGACTCTTGGAGGTCTTAGAAAGTAGATGGGGAGATGGGAGATTGCCTGTCAGTGTAAGCTTAGGGTATGTCAGCCATATTTATTAAAGAATAATAATTCGTAGACAGTTTACTATGTTTTGCTCCTAAGGAAAGGAAATAAACCTTTTTTCTGGTGAGGTTAGCTGACTTTAATCATTGAATTGCTTTTTTAAAATAATTTACATAACAAATCTATAATTACCGTATATTCCATTTTCTTAGCACTTTTGCAGGGCTGGAGATTGAATCTAGGACTCTGAACATGTTAGGCAAGTTCTTTGCCACTGAGCTACGTTCCCTAGTCCTTCCCTAGCATTTTGGTGGTTGTTTTTGTTGTTGTTGTTGGCCATTTCTGGACTTGGGCACTGTTCCTGAGCTTCTTTTGCTCAAGGCTAGTACTCCACCACTTGAGCCACAGCGCCATTCTGGCCTTTTCTGTTTATGTGGTACTGAGGAATTGAACCCAGGGCTTCATGCATACTGGGCAAGCACTCTACCACCAAGCCACATTCCCAGCTTCCCTAGTACTTTGGATAGTAGATGTCTCTTCAGCTATTTTATGATCTGTTTTGTGGCTAAAACACCAAACCCACCAGTCAATTCTTGGATTCAAGGCATGATTTAGCTTTTAATTCCCAGACTTGCTCTATCTCTGAATTTTTGTTATATTATTAATAATAATAATAGGTACGGGGTAACAGTGTTCAAAAATAAATGTACTCAGTATCTTAGGTAACTGTACATCAGCCTTTACAACAAAATAAAAATTTTTTAAAAAGTGAGTTAAACAGGAAAAGATAAAATCCTTTCCTAAGACTGCTTAAGTTTCTTCATATTCTCATCTCTGTGTGTGTATGCATATGTGCATGTTTGCATATGCACATGCTAGTACTGGTGCTTGAACTCAGGCCTGGGTGCTATTCCTGAGCTAGGCTAGACTTGAGCTACAGCTCAACTTCCAGCCTTTTTTGGGTAGTTTATTGGAGATAAGAGCCTCACAGATTTTCCTACTACATTCTTCAAACTGTGATCCTCAGTTCCTGGCCCCCTGAGTAGCTAGGGGTTATAGATGTGAGTCACCAGCATCTGGCTCATATTCTCATGTTTAGCCACTGTATATGTGTGTTTGTGTGATTGTGAACTCAGAATTTTTTACTTAAGCATTTATATGTTATAGTTCCAGAATTTTTTTTAACTTCAGGAGATAGAAATAATCCCCAAGTTGTCCTGAGATAAAAGGTTGACTTTTCTAAGACCTCCATAATAGGGTACCTATTGGTTCCTGCCAGCCCCATACCTCATTAGACAGAAAGATTAGAACTTGGATTACCTGAAGCTGGCATAGGACAGGTAGCTGGCTGCTTGCCTTGTCATCTTTGCCTTTTCTGTCATCTTTGGTCCTGTGTTTGTAGACTTCCACAGAGTTCTACAGAACAGAAGACTTAAGTTGTAACTTAAAGGATACCCAAATATGAAAGAAAGAACTAAAAAGCTTTTCCTTCTTGGAAAAAGGAGAGGGATATAGATGCAGAGTTTTAAGTTAATAAACATGACTTCATTGTCTCAAATTTTGTTCTAGTAGAGCAAATAGATGCTTAACGGCCAGACTTGCCCTGTTGTGGTCCAGGTTAGAAAACCAACGTGGCCCAACAAGGCTGAGATCCTGGGGTTGTAGTCTAGCAACAAACAGCTTTGCTTCAGATGGTCAGGTGGGATATTGGAGTAAGCTCACCCTTTAGCACTTGCCTTGTCCGTGTCTCTGGGAACAGAACTGCCCTTTTCCAACAAGAGAATAAAATAGACAGACACTTGGAAGATGGATGAAGCGACTTGTCCCATTGACTCTTATCTCTAATTACCAAAAAAAAATTAAAAGTTGGAAATGGAGCTGTGGCTCAAAGTGGTAGAGCACTAGCCTTGAGCACAAACTTTCAGGGACAGTGCCCAGTCCCTGAGTTCAAGCCCTAGGACTGGCATAAAACAACACCTTCTCCCTCAGCACTGCTACCCTTTGGTCAATCCATTTGTATTTTTGGAGGGGACGAGGGGTAATGGGATTTGAACTCAGGGCTTGGTGCTTGTTAGGCAGGCACTCTTGCCATGCCACCAGCCCTTGGTAACTTCAGACACCGCAGCTCTATTCCAAAGGTTGAGAAATTCTTGAGACTTGGACACCAAAGCTGCACTTCACAGAATATGTGTTCTAGATTTTTCAGTTATACTATGTCTCTCTTATCACAAACCTGTGTCATTCCACACTCTACCTGCTCAATCCTTCCACCATTTACACTTGTATTTTCTATTTTACTTAGTTATTTTATTTTGTGCAAGTCCTAAGGCTTGAACTCAGGGACTGGGCACTGTCCCTGGGTGTTTTTGCTCAAGGTTAGTGCTCTACCATTTTGAGCCACAGCACCATTTCCAGCTTTTTATTATTTTTTTTTGGGGGGGGGGGTAGTTACTTAGAGATGAGTCTCTCAGAATTTCCTGTTTGGGCTGGCTTTGAACTGAGATTCTCAAGAGATCAGCCTCCTGAGTATCTAGGACTCTAGACTCGAACCACAGATGCCTGGGTCTATATATTTTATTTCTGCCTGGAGTTGTTCCTCTGTCGACCAGACAGATCCAAATGTACCCTCTGGTAAGAATCATGTGGTCCCTTATCCAGTAGATAGATTTTGATTGCCAGAAATATATTTCCAACAAGCTTGTATTCCCACACTGCAGGTCCATGGCCCACACTTTGTTTAGAGTCGTACTTCAGGGTTGTGGTGAGAGTTGCCAAGTTCTTTCTATATATAAAGGACTTTTTGCAGTGTATATTGTCTCTTGTCACCGCTGTTCGACTCTGTCCATGAGGTATTATGCAGTTATAGGCAATATAGAAATGATTGGGTGTGCCTGTGTTCCCTAACTTTATTTACAAATGCTATAACTTTCCAACCTTTGTTCTACAGCATGTGTCCTGTCATCAGACTGACAAAGTTTGAGCCCTGCCACTTGATAGCTCTATAGAACAGAGATAATATCTATAGAACGGAGATAATGGCAGTAGCTACTTCAGGGTTGCTGCAGAGATTTGGATGAGAATGGGAGCTTTGCAAAGGCAGAAGCTTTGTTTAATTTACCTCTCTCTTGTCCTATATAGTACCTGGCACATAGTCAATGATAATTTAATGGAAATCATTAGGCCTTGTTTTTTAAACAGTAATAAAACAAAGAAAGGAATGTAATCCAAGAGCATTAAAGGTGGTACCTTATGCAATAGTCTTCCTACTTTAATTTAGTCCTGTCTCTATCCTCCACATCCCCATCTCTTATCTTAAGGCATTCATAGCGTAATGAGGGGAAAAACAAGTAATAATGTGCCCATTTCCATTGTTGGGACAGAGGTAAATACTGGGTGTTAGAGGAGTATGCAGGGTACTCTTAATGCAAGATGATAGTGAGTCTGGAAGATGTAATGTTTTGAGCTGGATTTTCCAGGCAAAAAGATGTGCAATCTAAGCAGGGGGCATGACATGTTGGGGCTTGGAAGTGAGAACAGATGCTTTTACTGCATTAGATCATAGGATTCCTTTGTCCCATACATATTTAAATGATGAGATTACCCACAACCTGTGTTTTGGGAAACAGCTCAGTCCTTGGTAGGAGTGGAGGAAGGACATGAAGCAGGATATATATCTCTGTCCTGCATTTATACATAGTGTACGTAATATAGCTCAGAAGCATAGCATATGCTGCCATTGTAGTCTGTCAGGTATAGTTACATCTTTTGTTCTCTCTGGTGTGAAATTAAAAAAAAAAATAATATAGTCAACCCCAGTGTGCCCATATTCTAGCAAAAATCAGGACCAAGACAGGCACCAGTGGCTCACACCTGTAATTGTAGCTACTCAGGAAGTTAAGAACTGAAGATTAAAATTCAAAGCCAGCCCAGGCAGGGGGAAAGTCTGTGAGACTCTTACCTCCATCCAGTTAGCTACCAGAAAATAGGAAGTATAGCTGTGGCTCCCAAGTGGGAGAGCACTAGCCTGGAGCACAAAGAGGCTTAAGGACAGCACAGAGGCCCTGAGTTCAAGCCCCAGTACTAGTAGCACTCCCCTTCCTCACCCCCCAAAATATCAGGACCAAAGTGACTTTTTCTGTTCTTACTGCCCCATGACTTTGATGCAAACCCCAGACATCATAGTCTGGTGTTTCTGATGCATACTTTGTTTTTCACAGAGGCCAGTGCTGCCGAGGAGGCCGATGTACATGTAGCTGTGGTGGTGAGACCTGGCAACCCGGGATTAACGGATGATGAGAAAACGTACTATAGCCTCATCACTTCCTTCAGTGACCTGTACCTGCCCTCTTCCACATAGAGACAGGTTCTCTAAGAAGTCAAAAGTGTTCACATGACTGTCCCCTCAATGTCTAGTTTTATTCTAATGTAAAAGTAATTTATATATGCACACACCTGAACAAGTGTACATATGGGTGTGTGCCAGTTTCCACGGGCACATAAGTGAAAAAGAGAAGTCTTCAGTTCAGTGAAAACAAAGTTTAATTACATGTAGAAATTGTTTGAGCCCATAACCCTTCAGTCTTGTGGAAGCTGAAGGGTGGCTGATAGAAGAAATTGCTAAAAGGGTGTGATGTGATCACGTTGTGTTTGCGGACTGATTCTGCAGCCTTGTTCCTGTGAAAACTAGAAGGGCTTTAGAAAAGTTCCTAGTAGTAATTCACCGCCCTGCTCGTGTTTAAAGGTGATAGCAACTGCATTTCATGTTTGCCTGCTTGTATACAAAGACAAAGGGATTTGTTTGTGCTCTGAAAGAGCACAGTTGGGAACCAAAAGTCAGTTGAGCCTTGATCTGTCAAGTGTCTGTTCCTTCAGAGGAAACTTGCTGATCATGCGGCCCTACTCTCAGGCACCAGCATTTGTACTGGAAAAGGGGCATTGCTGCAGCAGCCCAAGTAAAATGTTTAACCAAGCAGTTCTAATCCTGTCCAGTTACCATCACAGATTTGATAGCTGCCTTTCTCACTAGGTCTTAGCAGTTTGAGAATATATGTTAATTACTATTTTTGGAATAAAGGTTTATTGGAGTCCATCTGAAACACCAAGAAGAGCCCTAATATGTAATATTTTTCTCTGAAATGGATGTGAAAAATGTAAATTTTATAACAACATTATTTATCCCAGTTGGATTCTAATAGTTTATGTGTCATTTTCATGTTGTGATTAATAAAAAGTGTTTTCTTCTTTCAGTTTTATATTGTTGTGTGTATGTGTGTGTGTGTGCATGCGCGCTGGTATCAGAGCTTGAACTTGGCGTCTTTATCTCTAGTGGCTTTTTTGCTTATGGTAGTGCTCAACCACTTGAACCACATGTCCAGTCTAGCTTTTTTTGGTTAATTGGAGGTAGAAAGTGTCACAGACTTCTCTTAGCCGGCTTCAAATTTCGACGATCAGATCTCAGCCTTTCTGAGCAGCTAGGATTACACCTGTAATATAGCCAAGTACCTGGCTAGATTTCTGAAGTGGTTTATATCATATGCCCTCAAAAGTGAAAGGGAAACAGAGGCGGAAGTCTGGTAAGTATGTGTTTTGTATGTTAATGAAGCATCAATAGAGAAGCATTGACTAGCATCTGAATTACGTATACATATATGGTTACTTTCCTATGTGGTTACTCAATAGTGAACATTCCATATAAGAGAATTTCTTGGATTTTTGAGAATCTTATGTTTTATTGTATCACACATAAAGAAATTATTTTTCTACTTAATAAAAACTAATGAATCCTAGAGGCATAATTGTAGAAATTCTTGGAATAATGAAAAAACTAGTACAAAGATGAGGAGATAAATAACTTAGTAACTGTTTGTGGAGGCGTTGAACTCAGCCCTCATACTTGCTTGGCTTACCTGCTCAACTTACTTCCTCGTCTGGTGCCTTCCACTTGAATCACATCTCTGCCCTAGCTTTTGCTACCTAATTTAGAAACGGAGTCTCAGACTTTTCTGCCCGGACTGATCTTGATCACAGTCCCCCGGACCTTAGCCTCCTGAGTTCCTAGGATTATAAGTGTGTGCCACTGAGCCCTGGCTAATTTTTATCATCTAGAAGAAAATGAAATACTATAAAAATATACAAGAGTAGAAAAATGAAGTGAACTGATGTGGAATGGTAGAAATGAGAATAATTTGTAATGATGGTAAAACCACAAGGAAAATAAAGGAACAACTTCATGCATTTTGTGGACTAATTCATGAACAGATGACAGAGCATAACTATCATAATAAAGGACTAATTGCAAAAGTAAGGAAGAGGAGAAAATGTCAGATGTGGTGGTGTACATCTTTATCTCAACGCGTGGAAAGCAGAGGCAGGAGGATCTTGAAGTCAAGACTAGCTTGAGCTGTGTACTAACAGCCTGACTGAAGGAAGGGTAAGAAGGAGGTAAATAATACATCAGGAGCTAAAAAAGGAATTTGGCTGAGTTGTCAGCACAGAATGGAGGTGGAAAGGCATTTATTGTCGATTATGGAAAAAGTTTCAGAGAAACTAATTTACACTGAGTAACAAAGACAAATTGAGGAATTAGGGAAATGTTATTTCAGATTCAGTTTATCAGAGTGTTTGAGAGGGGAAAACAGTGACAATTATTTCTTAGTCTATAAAACCCATTTACTATATTGAGTGTGATGGTAAAGAGTCTTCAGAAGAACTTAAGAAACAAAGTAGGTTTGGTGAAGAGGAAGGAAATACCTAAGCCAGAGGGTAATAGATTAGAAGATAAATTCAGATAAATTATGGTCCTCAGGAAGAGAAGGCAGAAAAACTCTGGAATTTCCAAAAATGAAGTCTCAGCATCGTACTTGCACAGAGAAGACAAGAGACAAAGGACTGAAAGTCGGGCTCCCATCCATCTTCATCTAGATCTATTTCAGTTGTCTTTCCACAATGGCAGTAATTTCCCAAGGTAGTTTGAGGAAGAAATCTCTGGTCTGTTCTGAAGCTCTGGAACTGAAAGGCTTCATGTTTGGACTTGAGGAGAGCTGGCTCATTGTCAAGTCTGGCATTGCACTGGCAGCAACTGGAACCACTGGCCTCTTATCAACACAGACGCACAGCCGACTTGCCCAGCAGATGGTGCCGTTTCTCCAGAGACCTTACTGAATGCCAACCCACCAAATGGGGCCAAAAGCCAAGAGCATGCTATTATTCGAGTGAGTAGTTTTGGGAAAATGGTCGTCCCTCTCTAATCTCTGAGAAGCTAAGGAAAAAAAATGATTTAGGGGGTAATTTTTCCAGCAGCAGTGTTTGATAGGGCTTATTCTCAGTTCTTTTCATTCCTATTAGAACAAACACTGAATATATTATTTGCCAGAGCAGTTTGCTATTTTACCACCCATGCCTTCATACCATCTGAAGTGATACTGTTCTCAACCTAGTAGTTAAGAACTTTCAGTATTTACTAACACATTGAAGGCTAACAAAAAACTCAGTCTCCTTGCAAATTTAACCCAAATTAATTCTAAGTATTTATTAAGCACCTACAATGGGCTGTAAGGAAGCCAGCAAAAGAGATGGGTGTGGAGGAAGGGATACCAAGAGAGAGGCCAGGGAGCCAAAAAGGAGGGAGGACTCAACATCAAGAGCTGATAAGAATTCAGGGAAGTTAGGTCAGGCATGGTGGCACATGCCTGAATCTCCAGTACAGGAGGATTTCCGTTCTACTCAGCCTAGACTATATAATAAGATCTTGTCCCAAAACAACACTGAGGAAGTTGAGTTTGGCAGTGGCCCTAGGGTAGTCTCAGTAGTCAGAACAGAAGTAAGAGAGTTCAAATCCAGAGAATATGCAGTCAAAAGATGGAGCCAGGAGCTGGGAAGGTGGCTCAGTGGTAGAGCACTTGCCTTGCATGCTCGAGGCCCTGGGTTCGATTCCTCAGCACCACATAAGAAAAAAAGCCGGAAGTGGCACTGTGGCTCAAGTGGTAGAGTGCTAGCCTTGAGCTGAAGAGCTGAGGGACAGCGCCCAGGCCTAGAGTTCCGGCCCCACGTCCGGACCCCCCCAAAAAAAAAGATGGAGCCCTTTTAGCTGATCTTTTCAAAGAACTGAGTTTTGATTTTGTTAATCCTCTCTATTTGGTTTATATTGTCTTTGTTATCTTCTTGCTTTGGGTTTAGTTTGCCTTTTTTTTTCTTCTTTGCTTAAGGTGGAAAGTTTGGTCATTGTTGTGGGATCTTTTTTGTTTAGGTTTTCTGAAATGAGGTCTCTGGCTCTTAGACTGGTGTCAGTCTCTCAGTCTTGCCTGTCTGGACCACAGGTATGCACCACCATGCCCAGCCTTTCTTCTTGTTCATAAAAGCTACTTGCAGCTGTAAATTTCCCTCTGAGCACTGCTTTAACACATCCCATCGATGTGGTATATTGGTTGTTCTAATTTTTTTCCTTTATCTTATAGTATTTTCTAATTTCCTTTTGACTTTGTCCAAGGCTCAGGCTGTTCTAACAATGTATTGCTTCATTTCATTTCCACACATTAGAATATTCCAAAGTTTCTTTTATTGTTGATTTCAGGTCTCACTGTATTTTACTTGAAGAATATACTATTTATTTTTGATGCTGTTTCCACAGTTGAACTCAGGGGTCTCAAACTCATTGGCTTAAAAAAAAATTATTGAGATTGATTACCCAAATTTCCCAGTATTGTGGGATAATGATATTTAGTTAAAGTCACAAATACATTTTAACCTTCACAAGGTGCATTGTTGTTATCGTGGTCTATGAAGCTGATGGATTCTACAAACTTTGACACTACTGCTATTTCTTTCCTTTTGTTTAGTGTAGGCTGTTCCCTTTTTTCTCATTCCCTTCCTCCCGTTGCTGCCCTTGAGTTGCTTAGTTCATTTTCATCCATGTACTGACTTGTTTTGTTCACAGCTGGTGCTGGCTAATTGGAGATGGAATCTTAAAGACTTTTCTTTCTAAACTGGCTTGAATGTCAGTCCTCCAGGTCTTAGCCTCTTGAATAGTTAGGATTACAGGAATGAGCCATCAGTAATTGTTTGATCTTTTAAAATTTATAGCCTACCATAAGATCTAATGTGGAGAATGTTCTTTGTGTAGGGGGAAGAAATGTGTGTTATGCTGCTGTTAGAGTTTTTAAAAATCTTTATAAGGTCTAGTTGAGTTCTGGTGGGGTTTTTTTGTTTGTTTTGTGCCAGTACCAACTGAGGCTTAACATCAGGGCTTTAGCCAGGTGCCAGTGGCTCACGCCTGTAGTCCTAGCTACTCAGAAGGCTGAGATCTAAGGATCGCGGTTCAAAGCCAGCCTGGGCAGGAAAAGTCCATGAGACTCTTATCTCCAATAAACCACCACCAGAAAACCAGAAGTGGTGCTGTGGCTCAAGAGCGCTCTACAGTGCTCGCCTTGAGCTGAAGAGCTTGAGGGACAGTGCCCAGGCCCAGAGTTCAAGCCCCACAACCCCCCCCCCCAAAAAAAAAAAAATATCAGGGCTTTATGCTCTCACTTGGCTTTTCTGCTCAAGGCTAGCACTCTGCTACTTGAGCTACTTTGGCTGGTTAATTGGAGATAAGAGTCTCTCAGGTTTGTCTGTCTTGGTTGAATTTGAACCAGGATTTGCAAATCTCCGCCTCCTGAGTAGCTAGTATTACAGGTGTAAACTACCGGAGGTCTGCTAGTTTATGTTGGAGCCTTTTATTCCCTTGTTGATGATGTTCTGTCTAGTTGCTCTGTATTATTGAATGTAGATGAATCGATTCTCTATATTGTTAAAACTACTTCCGTCAATCCTGTCTACTTTTGCTTCATGTATTTTGGTGTTTTATGGTTGGATGTATATATGTGTAGAACTTGTGTAGCTTCTTGATGGATTCACCCCTTAACATGATAACATTTGTGTCTCATGTTAACAAATTTTGTATGAAAGTTTGTCTTGCCTAATATTAGCACAGTGATGCCAACTCTGCTTTCCTGGAATATATTTTCCATCCTTTTCCTTCCAACTTGTTTATATCTTTGAAACTGAAATGTGTCTCTTGTGGAGAACATACTGAATTATGTTTTAAAATCCATTTGTCCAATTGATGCCTTTCAATTGAAGTTTGTTTACCTGCTTTTAAAATAACTACTGAAAAGAATTTATGACTATCATTTTGCTTTTTGATAGCTGTATTTTTTCCATCTCTATTCCTTAATTCCTTTATTACTGCCTTTCAGTATTAAATAGATATTTCCTC